TCGTTATAAAACAAATTAATTTAGTTTATTTTAATTTATTTTAATTACATTGTATTTAATTTAATTAATTTCAACTTATTTCAATCAATTTAACATAAAAAACAGCAAATAAGAATATATTTAGGTGCATGTACACCCCATTGCTGTGCTCGGGTGCCTTATATCCTTACAACTAACTACTTTGTACAACTTTCTTCGTTAAGTATCAATTTTTATTGTATTTTAGGCCAAAAACGGAAGAAATAATTTAAATAAAATAATTTAAATGCATAAAAATAAATATTTCAATACAATAATTATGTTTAATAGTGTTTTTAGTTATTAAAGTAGACATACTTGCTTGCGTGTTGTTGACGTCGATGAGGTCATGAGGTGTACATACACCCCAAGTATGTGTATTCGTGCGTATTTTTGCGGTAATTCAAGTTAATTAATTAATTTAAATAGAAATCAATAAAAATAAATAAAATTAGATAAAAGTTTTAATGTATTATATGTAAATAAAGGAGAAGAAATGGCTGCAGCGTAAAGAGTTGTGCTGCTGCTGCACCTGCTGCAGCAGCAGCACTATGTAGTTGCATTTTGTTGTTTTGTTGCTGCAGCATGCATAAAAAGGCATCATAAAATACATCTTTTTGTCTTTTTTAATCTTTTTTAATTAATTAAATAAAAAATAGGGTGTATTATACAATGTATACAACAATACCTGTATATATAGACAGCTATGGGGGGGGAACAAGAGAATTACGTGTAGTAAGGGAATATTTTTATTGTCCTTGCTGCAGTCATTATAGCTGCTCATGTAGCTGCTGCTGCAGCAGCAGCAGCAGAAGAAAAATAAAAAAAAGAGCTAAATCAGCTCCTCCTCCTTGTTTAGCGCATGCAGCGCATGCATGCTATTCTTCTGTTGTTGTTGATTGCCCTACAGTAACAAGGACAAGAGTAATAAGTACAATAACCCCTCCTTATCCAAGGACAGCAACATGTGTATATTATTGGCCATAAATATATATTAATTAATTAATTATATATTTATTTATTTATTTATTTATTTTATTTATTTATTTATTTATTTATTTTATACAATATGTATTTATACACCCGCAAAAAAATTCTCTTCTTCTCTACTCTACTAAACCCTAAACCCTAAACCCTAAACCCTAAACCCTAAAAACCCTAAACCCTTGTTTCTTCGTCTCTCTATTATATTTGCTCGTCTTTATCTACCACGCCTTCATCGTCTCGTTGCTAGTGCAGCAGCAGCAGAAACAGCAGCAGCAACAGCAGCAGCAGCAGCAGCAGCAGCAGCAGATATGGAAGCAGCAGCCATATCATCTAAAGCACTACTTGTTCTTCTACTACTACTCCTACAAGCAGCAGCAGCAGCAGCAGCAGCAAAAGGAGCAGCAGGAGCAGGAGCAGCAGCAGCAGCAGCAGGTCCTATACGCCCTCTTTTTAAATAGGCGCATGCAGCCCCAAAATATTGAGGTGTATAGGCAGCTATAAACCCTTGCATGCATTAAATATGACTTTTTTTATTTTTCCTTCTTCTTAGTCTTGCGTGCATGCATGCATGCATGTAGCAGCAGCAAGAGCAACAGCAGCAACAGCAGCAGCAACAGCAGCAGCAGCAGCAGCAGGGTAATTAGGGGAATTGCGGATTGTCTGCAGCAATTGTAGATAAACCGCCATTTACTTTTTACTCTAAACCCTAAAACTCTTCTTTTTAATTCGCTACGTTATTAGGGTTTAGGGTTTAGGGTTTAGGGTTTAGGGTTTAGGGTTTAGGGTTTAGGGTTTACTATTGGGGTCTAGTTTATTTTGTTTAGGGTCCAGGGGTTTAGGGTTTATTGCTTTGGGTTTACGTGTCGGGGATATACAGTTTTAGGGTTTAGGGTTTATTCCTTAGGATTTAATGTGTAGGGTTTAGGGTTTAGGGTTTAGGGTTTGTTGCTTACAGACAACGAGAACGGGCCGTCATCAACTGTAAACCCTAGATCGTAAACCCTAAGCCCTAAACCGCTGCAAAAGGGAAACAGTACTGGACGGCCTTCTAATCTAGGGTTTAGGGTTTAGGGTTTAGGGTTTGGAGTCTGGGGTTTAGGGTTTAGGGTTTAGGGTTTAGGGTTTGGAGTTTGGTGTTTAGGGTTTAGGGTTTAGGGTTTAGGGTCTCGGGATTAATTAGGCTTTATCATTGAGGGTTTAATGGGTTTGTGGTTTAGGGTTTAGCGTTTTGTTTGTTACCAGCTGATGCCTACGCGGTTCCGTATAAACCCTATACCCTAAACCCTAAATGGCAAACCCTACACCGGTTACCGCAAATCCTAAACCCTAAACCCTAAACCCTATACGGTAAACATCCAAACCCTAGCTAGTTATATAGCAACAATAAAGGGAATATGCTGGACAAGCAAAATCTTATTTTTCTCTAAACCCTAGATCGTAAACCGTAAACCCTAGATCACAAACCCTAAACCCTAGTCAGCTCGCCTGAGCACGC